ATTGTCTCAGCCCAAAAACTCCTGAAACTCGTAAGCAAGGGACACAAAATCAACGTGCAAAAATCACAAGCATTCCTATACACCAATACCAGACTGAAAGAGAGCCAAATCTGGAACGAACTGCCATTCACAATTGCTACAAAAAGAATAAAATACCTAGGAATACAACTCACAAGGAACGTAAAGGACCTCTTCAAGGAGAACTACAAACCACTGCTCAACGAAATCAGAGAGGACACAAACAGATGGAGAAACATTCCATGTTCATGGTTCGGAAGAATTAATATCGTGAAAATGGCTATACTGCCCAAAGTAATTTACAGAATCAACGCTATCCCCATCAAGCTACCATTGACTTTCTTCACAGAACTGGAAAAAACCACCATGAACTTCATATGGAACCAAAAGAGAGCCCGCATAGCCAAGTCAATTCTAAGCAAAAAGAACACAGCGGGGGGCAACACACTACCGGATTTCAAACTATACTACAAGGCTACAGTAATCAAAACAGAATGGTACTGGTACCAAAACAGAGATATACACCAATGGAACAGAACAGAGGCATCGGAGGCAATACAACATATCTACAGCCATAAAATCTTTGATAAACCTGACAAAAACAAGCAATGGGGAAAGGATTCCCTGTTTAACAAATGGTGTTGGGAAAACTGGCTAGCCATGTGCAGAAAGCAGAAACTGGACCCCTTCCTGACACCTTACACTAAAATTAACTCCAGATGGATTAAAGACTTAAACATAAGACCTGGCACCATAAAAACACTAGAAGAAAACCTAGGCAAAACCATTTAGGACATAGGCGTAGGCAAGGACTTCATGACCAAAACACCAAAAGCATTGGCAACAAAAGCCAAAATGGACAAATGGGACCTAATCAAACTCCACAGCTTCTGCACGGCAAAAGAAACAATCATTAGAGTGAATTGGCAACCAACAGAATGGGAAAAAATTTTGCAGTTTACCCATCTGACAAAGGGCTGATATCCAGAATCTACAAAGAACTAAAACAGATTTACAAGAAAAAAACAAACAAGCCCATTCAAAAATGGGCAAAGGATATGAACAGACACTTTACAAAAGAAGACATACACGAGGCCAACAAACATATGAAAAAATGCTCATCATCACTGGTCATTAGAGAAATGCAAATCAAAACTACATTGGTATACCATCTCATGCCAGTTAGAATGGCTGTCATTAAAAAATCTGGAGACAGCAGATGCTGGAGAGGATATGGAGAAATAGGAACACTTTTACACTGCTGGTGGGAGTATAAATTAGTTCAACCATTGTGGAAGACAGTGTGGCAATTTCTCAAGGACCTAGAAATAGAAATTCCATTTGACCCAGCAATCCCATTACTGGGTATATATCCAAAGGACTATAAATCGTTCTAGTATAAGGACACATGCACACGAATGTTCATTGCAGCACTGTTTACAATAGCAAAGACCTGGAACCAACCCAAATGCCCATCAATGATAGAATGGATAGGGAAAATGTGGCACATACACACCATGGAATATCATGCAGCCATAAAAAAATGATGAGTTCGTGTCCTTTGTAGGGACATGGATGAACCTGGAAACCATCACATTCTCAGCAAACTGATACAAGAACAGAAAATCAAACACCGCATGTTCTAACTCACACGCGGGTGTTGAACAATGAGAACACATGGACACGGGGAGGGGAGCATCACACACTGGGGTCTGTCAGGAGGAAATAGGGGAGGGACAGCAGGGGGTAGGGAGTTGGGGAGAGATAGCATGGGGAGAAATGCCAGATATAGGTGATGGGGAGGAAGGCAGCAAATCACACTGCCATGTGTGTATTTAAGCAACAATCTTGCATGTTCTTTACATGTACCCCAAAACCTAAAATGCAATAAAAAAATGGTTTGTCATCAACTAATTAATATTTCTTACTAAATCTTTCATTCCATTTAAATACTATGAGACAATTATCCAAGACTTTTTAAAACAAAGTGATCACCGTTTATCAACTATTTTCAGAAGTGATAAATGTTAAATGCAATAGAAAAAGACAAATATAAAGAAGTGCATGGAAAAAAACAAAATCAGCAGCAGCTCACCACCACAAGTTAACAGTGATAAGGAGGTATATGTCCTTAATATATGTATTAACAAGCTTTAATATATTAACTTTGTTTTCAAAGTAGAAAAAAAACACATATTAGTTTCCAATCTATTTCACTTGATTGTTTCTTTTTTCTTTTGTATATTTGATTTTTCCCCCTTTTTCTTTCCGAATTTTATGTTAGGTTCAGACAGTACATGTGCAGACACGTTACCCAAGCAAACTCTATGTCATGGGCGTTTGGTCTACAGACTATTTCATCATGCAAGTAATGAGCACAGTACCTAGTATTTTTGATCCTCATCTTCCTCACACTCTCCACCCTCAATAAGTCACTATGTCTATTGTTGCCTTCTTTATGTCTATGTGTACCCAATGTTTAGCTCCTACTTATAAATGAGAACTTCTAATATTTGATTTTCTGTTCCTGTGTTAATTCATTTAGGATAATGGCCTCCAGCTGCATCCATGTTGCTGCAAAGGAGGTTTCATTCTTTTTTATGGCTGTGTGGTATTTCATGGTGTATATGTACCACATTTGCTTTATCCAGTCCACCACTGATGGGTATCTACGTTGATTTCATGTCTACAATTTATAATCATTTGGATTCTGTTCTACGTTATTTTAGAAATCTCCTAACTGCTTTCCAGAATGGCTGAACTCATTTACTTTCCCACTAGCAGCATATACGCATTCCCTTTACTTAACAATTTAAGATAAATATTTTCCCATGGAAATAAGTATTATTCTACAAAATGATTGTTCATGGCTATATAGAATTCTATAATTAGGATGTATTATATTTACTCAACTAACAATCTTAGTAGACATTAATTTTTCTTTTCAGTTTTACTTATAAATTATACTGCAATAAATCTTTGAACATACCTTTTTATACATATCTTTATTATTATAATTTTTTTTGAAATGGAGTCTCGCTCTGTCACCCAGGCTGGAGTACAGTGGCACGATCTAAGCTCACTGCAACCTCCATCTCCCAGGCTCAAGCAATTCTCCTGCCTCAGCTTCCCAAGTAGCTGGGATTACAGACACACACACAGCTATTTTGTATTTTTCAGTAGAGACAGGGTTTCACCACGTTGGCCAGGCTGGTCTTGAACTCCTGACCTCAGGTGATTCGCCGGCCTCAGCCTCCCAAAGTGCTGGGATTACAGGCATGAGCCACTGCATCTGGTGAGGTATTATATATTAATACATCGTCAATATAGTCAATCCTATCGAACTGACAAAGCAGTAGACAAGTGTGTCTAAGACAATGTTCTACAAATATATACAGGCCAAGATCCAAATATGCACAAAATATAGCTTGAGAAAAATATTTGTTTCGTTTTGTTTTTTTGAGACAGAGTCTTGCTGTGTTGCCCAGGCTGCAGTGCAATGGTGCAATCTTGGCTCACTGCAACCTCCACCTTCCAGGTTCAGGTGATTCTCCTGCCTCAGCCTCCAGAGTAGCTGGGATTATAGAAGCCCACCACCACGCCCAGATAATTTTTTGTATTTTTAGTATAGAGACGGGCTTTCGCCATGTTGGCCAGGCTGGTCTCAAACTCCTGACCTGAGTGATCTGCCCGCCTCAGCCTCCCAAAGTGCTGGGATTACAGGCATGAGCCACCTTGTCTAGCCAAGAAAAATATTTAAAGTAGATCATAATCATTGCCGTTTACTCAATAAATTCATCTAACTGGGGCCAGGCATGGTGGCTCATGCCTGTAATCCCAGCACTTCAGGAGGCAAAGGAGGGTGGATCACCTGAGGTCAAGAGTTCAGGACTAGCCTTGTGAAGGCTAGTAAAGACTGGTGAAACCTAGTCTTTACTAAAAACACACATACAAAAAAATTAGCTGGGCATGGTGGCAGATGCCTGTAGTCCTACTACTCAGGGAGGCTGAGGCAGGAGAACCACTTGCACCCAGGAGGCAGAGGTTGCAATGAGCCAAGATCGTGTCACTGCACTCTAGCCTGGGTGACACGGGGAGACTCCATATCAAAAACAAAAAACATCTAACTGGACCCTGACTTTTTTTCTATAGCTGTCTTTTCATTTCTAATTTCTACAAACCAAGATAAGCATTAAAATGAAAGAAAGCAAAACTGGGCCGGGTGCAGTGGCTCACGCCTGTAATCCCAACACTTTGGGAGGCTAAGGCAGGTGGATCATGAGGTCAAGAGATCAAGAACATCTTGGCCAATATGGTGAAACCCCATCTCTACTAAAAATACAAAAATTAGCTGGTATGGTGGCACGTGTCTGTAATCCCAGCTACTCGAGAGGCTGAGGCAGGAGAATCCCTTGAACCAGGGAAGCAGAGGCTGCAGTGAGCTGAGATCATGCCACTGCACTCCAACCTGGGGACAGAGCAAGACTCCATCAGAAAAGAATAGAAAGGAAAAGAAAAAGAAAAAGGAAAGGAAAAGAGAAAAGAAAGCAAGCACGCAAAACTGATCAATGGATCAAAAATTATTCACTAATTTTTTAATCTGAAAAAAATGAAGACAAAACAAACATGCATGGTATAGGAGAAAGTAAAAATAAGATTTAAAATAATCTCCTACAAGAAACACTTAGAAAGAGTAAGAACCAATATTTGATAAAACAGGGTGACTATAGTCAATAATTTAATTGTACATTTAAAAAGAACTACAAGATTGTAATTGGATTGCTTGTAACGCAAAGATAAATGCTTGAGGGATGAACACCCATTTTCAATGATGTGATTATTACTTACTCCATGCCTGTATCAAAGTATTTCATGTACCCCATAAATATATACACTCACCATGTACCCACAAAAAATTGTTTTAAATCTCTTTCATTAATGATAAAGCCCCAAATCCCCAAATTTCTCATTAAAATATCTACCTTGTGAATCCTTCTTATTAAGACAGATGCAAAAAACCGCAATGTTATTCTCAGTTCATCAACAAAGGATTCATCATCTGTCACATCCCTTCAATAAGGAGAAAAACAAATATTCAGAAGTTCAGAGAAATACAGTTTCAGCTTCAAGAAAACAAGCAAAAAATTTCCTTTTTTCTGTTTACTTAACCCACTTTCCTTTTTCATTTATGAATACATTTCATTGTAGAATAAAAGAAATGTACAAAAAAGAAAACAAACATCTACCATAATTCTAGCATCAAGACATAATTACCATTAATTAAATTGTAACATTTATTTCCTTGCAGACATATATGAGTATAGTTTTATTTTTACAATACTGAGATCATGTTCTAAGCAACATCAAAGAAAGTTTAAAGAAGTAAAACAATGAACAATTTAGGAGAAGCAATAAAATTAAATTAATACAAGATTTTTAAATAGTTTAAAATACTTATATGTAAATTCTTAAAGTTAAAATAAAGGTGTACTCTATTTGAAAAAGAAATTAAATGAAACTCAAACATTTTGTAAAACATAAATTCTGACAACCTTCATCTGAGGAGTTACTTTCATTTTCCTGATGTTTTGAGGTCCCTAGAATTAGAACACTTCCCTAATCAAAGGCAAGGAAAGAAAGAATGATAATATCTTAAACTTGAAAATGGTGCTAATTGTTAACTTTCTTGACAGAATAGGAAAGATAATTGCATCAACCATGCCTCCCACTATTAAACCCTAAAGAAGGGGATATTACAGCATCAATAGCTACCACTGAGAAGAAAATATATACTTTCACACTTAGAAATACAACCAAATTTTGTCTAAAGTGTCATAACGCAGAGATGGGAGAAGGTAAGGGAGTCTTCACAAAAGATTCATTTTATAAAAGGCCTCACCATCAACTTTAATTAAATGGCAAATGCCAGACATTTAAGACAGAATCAAATGTAAAAAATTAATTTACCTAGCTTTTCAAGAAAATATGGCATAGAAACTGGATATTGCATTTGTCGTAACACATTCCGGAAGAATTCAACTAGTAGCATTTTTTTTTAATTAGAAAATTCAGCCAGGTGTGGTGGCTCACGCCTCTAATTCCAACAGTATGGGAAGCCAAGGCATGGGTTCACTTGAGGTCAGGAGTTTGAGACCAGCCTGGGCAACGTGGAAAAATTCCATCTCTACTAAAAATACAAAAATTAGCCAGGCATGGTGGTGCACACCTGTAATCCAAGCTTCTTGGGAGGATGAGGTGGGAGGATCAGGTGAAGGTTGCAGTGAGCTGAGATCATGCCACTGCACTCCAGCCCAGGCAACAGAACAAGACTCTATTTAAAAAAAAAAAAAAAAAAAATTCAAAATATATTTAATCAATATAAAATTGGGGTAGATGTCATTAAACATCACATATATAAGCCATAGAGATGCAAGTGTTCAAATATATATAAATATATATTAAATGCATGATGCTTATTTAAGGAAATATGTATTTATTAAATGATATAAGTTGGATCTCTCTGATTCTAAAAATAAATTTTTCAAATCTAAAGTATTTTCTGTATCTTCAAAAGTACAAGGCCCTTGTATACACATGGCATACACCAAAAACAAAGGTACTCTGGGGCAAAAAAAAAACATTAATTCTCCAGGAAAACTACTGAAGTTATCTTTCAATTTAATGAAATATGTGAAATAGATTCCCTTCCAAAAGGTACAATAATTTCAAATGTGAAAACTGAATACAAAATTATTAAATCACTACATCTAGGAGGGATAAGGAATTCTACAAGTTACTTTTGTCTCAAAACGCAGCCTAAGTTTTCTTCCTCTTTATTATGACTAAATTATTAATTAACTGAAACCTCTATCAGCGGTTCTTAACTAGGGCCAATTATGCCTTCCAGGTCATATCTGGCTACCTCTGAAGACATTTTTATTGGTCACAACTGGTAGCAGGGAGGTCTGCGACTATCTAATGGGAGAAGCCAGGGGTGCTGCTAATTATCACATAATGCACAGTACAGCCCGCACAACAAATAATTATTTTGCCTAAAATGTAAATAGTGACAAAGTTAAGAAATCCTGGTCTACACCAAAAACACATCATTAGCATGCTCAACTTAATAGTATTCACTGTATCAAAGAAAAATACCTTATAAAAAGAACATACCTGTACCACGGATAAACAAAGTTTTCCAACACTAATTCAAGAACCTGCATAAAAATTATTTTTTAAAGAAACATAATATTAATTAGTTTTTGGAAAATAAATTGTACCATTTGGTAATATATAACATTACCAAGAACCAATTTTATTATCACAAATAATGACAGTAGGCCAGGAGTGTTGGTTCACACCTGTAATCCCAGTACTTTGGGAGGTCAAGGCAGGTGTTCGCTTGAACTCATGAGTTTGAGACCAGTCTAGGTAACATGATGAAACCTTGTATCTACAAAAAATATAAGAATAAGCTGGGTGTAGTGGCATGCACCTGTAGTCCCAGCTATTTTGAGAGGCTGAGGCAGGAGGATTACTTGAGCCTGAGAGGCAGAGGTTGCAGTGAGTTGAGATGTTGCCACTGCACTCCAGCAAGGGCGACAAGTGAGCCCAGTCGCAAAAAAACAAAAAACAAATAATGACAGTAATATAAGGCTTTCACATGACAAAATGTGTATTTCAACCTTATATGATTTTGAGGATCAATGAGAACATATGAGAAAACACTTGGAAAACCATAAAAATTCCACAAATAGGAAAAGTTATTATTAGAATAACATGCAAGTATTTCTAAATATTCTCATAATCAAACAAAAAGTTAAATAAATTGTTCCTGAGTCTGAAGCTTAACTGAACCAAAAGTGTGCTATGGAAAGAAGAAAAAGAGCAAGTTAGTCCTTTGCATTCCTAACTTTGTAAGTCAGTATTTTCAGAATACAACGAAGAAACAAGCAGCAATATTTATGTAAGGGGACAAAATTAGGTGTTAGTAGGTACCTCTGATGGAAGTATAGTGGCTAGAGGGGAACATGAAGGGGTATTCTGGGATGCTGATAATGTTTTGTTTCCTGATCTGAATGCCAGTTACACAGATATGCTCACCTTGTGAAAATTTTACCTGTACACTCAAAATCAGTACGTAAGCTATTGGAATGAAAAAGTCACAAAATGAAATAAAACAAAACAAACCCTGGGTGTTAAATCTTCCATTTCTTGGATTTGGGTGTAGCAGGATGTCATAATTTTTACAAGGAGGTGCAACATTGGGCAGTAACTTTAAAAAGCAATAGGGAGGCCACAAAACGGCATATCTAATCCAATCCTTCCAAAATCAGATCACATACTTCTCTGGCAGCAGTAACAAAGGCTGTGAATTCTCTACTTTAAATATTAAGGGAATAATAATTTAGATTTTTTAGTACAAAAACTAAGCATTGTTTATATGAGTTGAGAAATGAAGATACATATAAACAGGGATAACAATGAATAGGATAGAGAGAAGAGACTAGAAAGAGTTATCATTAAACATTTGTTCTTCCTTTATTCCCCACATCCAATCAATCACCAAGTCCTACTGATTTTATATCCTAAGTAATGCTCTTCTACAGCACCATTGCTTGGGTCCTCATTTTCTTACCCCTCATACTGCAGCAATGGCCTCTCACCTCCCTGCTTCCAAGCTCACTCCCCTCCATCCTAAACAGAGCTGCCAAAGTAACCTAAAACATATATCTGACCATATCATCCTCTTTCACGAAATCCTCAATGTATCAAACCTGAATATATGAAAATAAGAAAGGTGAAACTGCACTGATTTTGAAGCATGCAGCAGCTGCATTACTTCCTTTTCACTCCCAGTGCACCCTATGAGTCTCATCTGAAAACTCAAGAAAATCACTGACTTGCAGGATCAATTAATCTGAACTCCATCAGCATAGCCCTTAAAGTCATTTGATAGTGTGATTTCTAAAGGGCCATATAAAATACCAATTAAGAACTTAACCAGATCTGAGTTTTTGATTGAGTTCTGCAATCAACCAAATATGAAACTTGAGAACATTATTAAAACTCTAAATTTCATTTACCTTTGGTAAAATTATCAATAATAGTAACCACTTCATAGGTTATATGTAGATTACATAAAATAATGCATGACTTAGCACAGTGCCTAATATATAGTAAGTATATCACTAAATATTAACTACTAGAATATTGTTTCCTCATTGCCCACATCCTCCCTCATATTTTACTCTCCAGTTTGCTGAACCCTCCACCTTATTTCAAGCCTCTCTTTCCTTTTGAAAGCTCTACCTAAGTCCTGAAATCCTCTTTTCCACACTTAGTCTGGCAAATCTCTAGTTATCCGATCTGACTGTCCCTCTCAATAGTTATGTACTTCTCCCCTATATCAATTCTATATACCTTAATTTTTTGCCATTATTGCCCACATTAAATTATATTGTGAATACCTGTTTATATGCCTGCCTTTGCTTCTAAAGTAGAAAGGGACCATATCTTATTCCACTTTTAATCACTACCGCCTAGCCCAGTTCCCACCTGTAAAATCTCAAAATATGTTTTTAAATGTGAGAGCTAATATTTATTGAACATCAACATGTGCCAGGTACTGGACCAAGAGTTTTGTAAAAGTCCTTTCATTTTTATGAATAAATATCTGACGTGTTAAAGACACAAATAATAGCTGTTAGAAGTTTTCTTCAACAGACCTCAACTTGGCACTCTCCAACAGAAATGTAAGTCACACATTAATTTTAAATTTTCTAGTAGCTATATGTTTTACAAAGTAAAAAGAAATAGGTGAAATTAATTTTATATTTCATTTAACCCAACATATCCAAAATATTATCCTATCAACATGTAATCAATATAAAAAATGAGATACTTTACATTCCGTTTTTCTAAGTCTTTTCTTTTATTTTTTTGAGACGGAGTTTCGCTCTTGTTACCCAGGCTGGAGTGCAATGGCGCGATCTCGGCTCACCGCAACCTCCGCCTCCTGGGTTCAGGCAATTCTCCTGCCTCAGCCTCCTGAATAGCTGGGATTACAGGCACATGCCACTGTGCCCAGCTAATTTTTTGTATTTTTAGTAGAGACGGGGTTTCACCACGTTGACCAGGATGGTCTCGATCTTTTGACCTCGTGATCCACCCGCCTCGGCCTCTCAAAGTGCTGGGATTACAGGCGTGAGCCACCGCGCCCGGCCCTGTCTTTTCTTACTAAATCTTCAAAATCCATTATCTATTTCACACACAGAGCACATGTCAACTTGGACTAACACACCTGCAGTGTTTATTAATAGCCACATGTGGCCTGTAACTACCATATTAGACAGTCTTAAATCAGGGTAACTTGAAAATGAAAAAGGCCTTAGAGAAGCAAAGAAAAAAATGCCAAGTTTTAATGGGCTTTTATGCAGGATACAAAATATGATAAATAACAACTAAGTGGGAATCAGATGCCTACTGCTCTTCTTCAACTAATTAGCATCGAGTTTAATTCAATACACTTTGATCAGCTACCAAAAATATTCATGACCCAATATTTGGTGCTAGGAACAAATGAGACCTCATTCCTTCCCTTCACAAACTTGAGTGTTTTGTCAAAACCACTGAGAAGACAAGTATCTAAAACACAGCTGGGTGTGGTGGCACATGCCTATAATCCCAGCTACTAGGGAGGCTGAGGCAGAAGAATTGCTTGAACCTGGGAGGCAAAGGTTGCAGTGAGCAAAGATCATGCCATTGCCCTCCAGCCTGGGCAACAAAAGTGAAACTGTGTCTCAAAAAATAAAATAAAAAATAAAACATGTTACCAAAAAGATACATATAAAATTTAACTATAATAAAGATACGAGAACATGCTTTCCATTCCAGTATTATGCAGAAGTAGTGAAAAACATCCCATTCCCTACTCTATACTTCAGTTAGTGTCAAAACTGGGGTCATAATTCAGTAAGATATACATCTATTTGCTCCTTGCAATCCAGGGTTCCTTTTGGAATTACAAAATGATATTTCTACTGCCTTTATCATAAAGATTACCGTCTTCAGCTTTATGACTGTTTCAGGTAAAGCAGTGCTTCCATGACTGTTTCAGGTAAAGCAGTACTTTCCTTAGCTAAAATGTATAAATTAAACATGAGATTCAAAAACATTTCTAGCTTACTATTCAAGTGGCTTAGTTTGCAATAATCAACTACCTAACCCAGAACTGATTTAGGTGATGTGTATTAAGATGTTCTATAATTAAATTATTTGGTAAAAAATTCTGGAAAAACTTTCCACAGGCATTTAATGATTTCTGTTAATATTAAATCAGTTACCTCTGAGAGAGATGCATCAACTTTGGAAGAAATTTTCAGGTCTAGCCATGGCTGATAGTTTTCAAGTAGCAAAGAAGGCCTAAAGAAAAATTATACAACTAAATCACTTGAAATCCAAATGTAATTGGAAGGATCAACAAATAAAAAAATATTTAACTTACCTATGTCGTTTACATTTCACTTTACCACAAACAGCACAGCTATGACCTTGAGGAAATAATTCCTGAAGTCCTAACTGCTAAAAAAAGGAAAACGAGAGATGGTGGGGAGAGTTGTCTTTACATATTTCCAAGCTTAAAGTTAAAATTAATTGTTATGTTCACTTAAAAAAAATTCAATCTATATTTGGAAATGACAACTTGGCCAGGCACAGTGGCTCATGCCTATAATCCTAGCAATCTGGGAGACCAAGGTGGGTGGATGACTTGAGCCCAGGAGTTTGAGACCAGCCTGGGAAACATGGTAAAATCCTGTGTCTACAAAAAAACACAGAAATTAGATGGGTATGGTGGCACATGCCTAGTCTCAGCTACCCAGGAGGCTGAGGTGGCAGGATCACCTGAGCTTGGGAGTTTGAGGCTGCTGTAAGCAGTGATCCTGCCACTGCACTCTAGCCTGTGCAAATCTACCCTGTCTCAAAAAAAGAAAGAAAGAGAAAAGAAAGTGACACTCTATCTCAAAGGTATAATAAGAAAAAAACTATTTTTTCTTTCTCTAAAATCTTGAATTTAATGAAAAAATTATGAGGTAACTACTAGAGTTTCTGATAAAATATGGGACACCACTTTCAGTTGTGGCCTTGGCCAAGGCAAGTGGGATATCTTTAAGTCTTTAAAAATTCCTTAAGTTGACAAGGCAAGTGGGATATCTTTAAGTTTTAATAATTCCTTAAGTTGACGTAGTATCTTGTCTCAGGTTTGTTGGTATTTTGCAGGATTATGTAATCCTAACACTTTGGGAGGCCAAGGCAAGTGGATCACCTGAGGTCAGGAGTTCAAGACCAGCCAAACTGGCAAAACGCCATCTCTATTAAAATTCAAAAACTAGCTGGGCTTGGTGGCGTGTGCCTGTAATCCCATTTACATGGAAGACTGAGGCAGCAGAAATCACTTGAACTTGGGAGGCGGAGGATGCAGTGAGCCAAGATGGCACCATTGCAATGAGCCAAGATGGTGCTGCTGCACTCCAGCCTGGGCAAAAGAGCAGGATTCTATCTCAAAGAAAAGACATACCTTTAAACCTTGATCTATAGACCAGAACCTTGCTTTACAGAGATAGATTCAACACATTACCACCCTTCATTACATTTCATAAATAAATTACTTTGGTTATGCAAACTGCCTAATTATATCTGTTTCTATGGAATACACAAACATTTAAAAATTTAGTACAATTAGATCATTTAACCTCATATTTCCTGAGTCTGTGCCTCAGAATCACCTGGAAAGCTTCTAACAAGTACTGATTACATGGCTGTAACCCAGAGCTAGTCAATTGAAATATGGTGATACAGCCCAGCAATCTGTATTTTTTAATTCCCTAGGAGATTTACTGTACAACCAGCTTTGGGAACCTCTGATTTAATTTATTGTCTTCGTGGTTAATAGAGGACACCCTAAAATTGTGGATCCTCACTTTCTGAAAATTTTGTACCACATTTTCTTTTTATAGCTCCTCCTAGAATTGCATGCCTTAAAAGCATACACATATAGACATTATATTTTGAAATTTTTCTAACACACTTCCATTATTAAGTAATATTAGACAGATTTTTTAATCACTGCTTTTAGCACAGTACCTGAAAATAAGAAATTTTTAAAAAATAATTTTTATAAATTAACAAAAAAATACACTGCTTTAGCAGACTTTCAAGTAATAAATAGTTGAGGCTGATACATATTGAATGCAATAAGAACACATAATTTTACCTTGGGTTTATATTTTATTGTGAAGAATATATTTGGTAAGAGAGAATTAGGTCCTAGTGAGCAGTAGAATGTGACAACTCCAGCAACAAATGACCAGAAGATCATTAAAACATGAAGATACCTTAAAAATAAATGAAAATAATCATTAGAACCAAAGAAAAGGCATAATTCTAACTTACTGCTTCATAGATTTAACAAGCAGCTTCATTGATTTAATAAGCACCTATGATATCATATGAAGCAATTTTTCCAATTATGATTAATTTTCTGTAATATATTTATTAAATACAAGAGTCATAAAATTTATGCTACCAAATATATATTTCATTTAAAGTATAAGGAAGCATAAATTATATTTCATAATTCATACCTATGTTTAGTCTATTCTACATTCCTCCAGAATACCTTCTTATGATATTGTAGTATGCATACCCCACCAAAATTCTGATTATTTTTCACTACATCAAAGGAATTTTACTAAGTACCTATTTTGTTCTACACAGTGCTAGGCCTTGGGAATATAGCAAGGAACTGCACTGCATAGTCTCTACCTGCATGTAAAACACTGTCTGTAGTGATGACAGGTAAGTAAAAAGAAGAACAATACAATGTGATCCATATGTGATACTACAACAGAAAGTCTGTGTAATATGGGAACACCACAGGCTGTTAGTTAATTCAAATTTGAAAGAACAGAAAAGTTTTTTCAGAGAAAGGAATGTCTACAGAAAAACTTAAAGGGTAAGTAGGTGCAAACAAACAGAAGAGGACGGTATAGAGGTATGAACAACTGGGGAAGAGGCAGGGGAATTCAAACTTGAGAGAAATGCATGGGCTTAGGTCTGTGTGAACATAGTTCTAAGGAAGAAAGCCTTAGGTTAATCTAAAAACAAAAGCAGAAGCCAAATAATATAGTGTCATATAATAGGCAATATGTGTCTTAATACAGGCAGTCCTCACATGGCACAGTTCTGATATGCAAAAATTTCAGTTATCATGATTGTGTTTAATAACACCAGTGCCCCAGTTCAAATGCCAATGACCCCGGTATATTTGTTAACTGTGAATAATTGCATAAAGTACAAACTTTGCTGCTAACTCATCCGTCCATAAATCACTATATAAATAACAGATGTGCATAATGATCATTGACCAATTACATCAGTTCTGTCAGTGACTGGTCACTCACTGTACATTGTTGTTATTCAGTGCATGCACAGACAGCAAACTACGGAGCTATGTTACCTCCTTGTCTCTCAATGATAAATATGCATGACATTTTACAAAAATGGCCATTATCCCACAAATTTTAAAGAGAAACAAAGAAACAGTGATAATGCAAGAAGTAAAATTCAAATCAAACGTAAATGAAGTTACAAAAGAAACAGCTGACTGTGGGAATGATGACAATGCTGCTGTCCAGCAGATTCTATGCAGCCAGAGAAAGATAATGAAGGGAACTTATTGGCATTTTATGAGAAAAGTGGTTACAGCATAAGGATGAAAATGTCCCAGAAGTGGCACCAGCAAAGGAACTCTTGGAGATTTCACAACATTGGATAAAACACTGAAGTTGATCCAAACTTAAGAGTATGGTACTTCACCTACACATGAAAAAGATATTCGCTCTGTATCCTACGTCATAGGATGAGAAGAGGACAAGCACTGTTTGTTACTCTTAATATATATTTTTACAAAGAAATAAAACACTTTAATTCTCAATGTTTCTAATGTTTAAAATTAGTGTACTACTCACTTTACTGTTTTTTTTCATTTCCCTATACTATTATAACTGACAAGAGTTTTCCATTGTTTGACAATTTTTTTAAAAGTCCATCATAATCTTCCCATTGATTAAAACCACTTTGCACAGTTTCTGCTTGCACAATCATTTTTACAGACTCTCACTACCAGACAAAGCAGGGACTGCCTGTATTATCTTACAAGCAAATGCACTGTAGGGATCTAATACTTTGTAGACTCAGTAGAGACTACCATCCCTTCTGCAAAGTGTTCTTTCTTTACACTCTACTCATGAAGTTCAAATGGAAACGAGCTTTTATCTCCTTAAGATTCTATCTCCCTCATTCAAGACTGGATTAAGAATGAACAAAACTATAACAACAACAACAAAATAGGCCAATCATAGCATCTTCTTCCCTACCTACAGCTGACTGGTTCAGAGATGGACACCATCTGAGACAACATAGGAGGTGACGGGTATTTTAAACAGAGTGAACATTGCATGAACCAGGGTCCAACCAGTCTCGTTCATCTCATGACAACAGAAACCTGAAGCTGTAATAAAACTGACAGCCATATGCTTTGCCACTTAAAAGAAAGAAGAGTGAGAAGAGAATGAAGCCAGAATTCAGAGAGGAGAAAAAGCAAGGGGAAGAAAGTATTGGCAGTATCCAAATCCTGCTTCCATGTGTCTATGGGGCCCAGGTACATCTTATTTCTGCACTTACAAAACCTTCCAATCTTGTCCTCTTTGTTAAACCTAGTGTGAGTTGAGTTTCTGTTATCTACCATGAAGAGTCCTTAGTAGTACCTAGGAGACAAGAGATTTAAGAATTTTAAGAATTTTCGAGAGTTTTAAGAAGGGTATCATTAGATTAAACAACTGGAAGTCCACTCTGGCTGAAACATGGAAAATGGTCTACACTGGAAACACACAGCCTAGTTAGAAAACTGTTACAGTAATCTGAGAGTCCGTGATGGCCTCAACTAGGGGAGAGACTTAGAGATTTTAAAAAGTGAATTATTTTGAGAGACAATGGGAGTAAAAATTGAGAGGATTAAGTAGTTGATTAGATGTGAGCAGAAGGAGCTGGGTAGGAGGAGCTTGCCTATAATCCTAACACATTGGAAGGCCAAAGCAGGCAGATCACTTGAAGTCAGGAGTTCAAGACCAGCCCAGCCAACATGGTGACACCCCATCTCTACTAAAAATACAAAGAAAAAAATTAGCTGGGCATGGTGGCATACACCTGTAATCCCATCTACTCAGAAGGCTGAGGCAGACAATCACTTGAACGTGGGAGGTAGAGGCTGCAATAAGCAGAAATCACACCACTGTACTCCAGCCTGGGTGACAGAGTGAGACTTCTAAATGAATGAATGAATGAATGATGTAAGAAAAACAGGAAAGATGAAAAATCAGTTCTCTTTGGACATGTTAAGTTTCAGATACTTTAAAACATACTGGCTGGGCACGGTGGCTCATGCCTATAATCCCAGCACTTTGGGAGGCCGAGGCGGGTGGATCACGAGGTCAAGAGATCGAAACCATCCTGGTCAACAAGGTGAAACCCAGTCTCTACTAAAAATACAAAAATTGGCTGGGCATGGTGGTGCGTGCCTGTAGTCCCAGCTACTTGGGAGGCTGAGGCAGGAAAATTGCTTGAACCCAGAAGGCGGAGGTTGCAGTGAGCCGAGATGGTGCCATTGCACTCCAGTCTGGGTAACAACAGCGAAACTCCATCTCAAAAAAAAAACAAAAAAACATACTACACAGAAATATTCCACAAGCACCTAAATATTGGATAATATAAATCTCTGGAGAGAGTATGGGCTAAGGATAAAGGTTTAGGAATTATTAACATAAATATCACTGAAATCATAGGAGTAAATGACATGACCCAGGGAGAATCTACAGAGTTAAATGAGCATAAGATATTTAAGAACTAGGCAGAGGAAATCTATAAAGGAATCAAGTAATTAAAAGAGTTGGAAAGAAAACCAAGGGTCAAGTCATAAAAACTGGCAAGGTAAAGAAATATAAGTATCTACAGAAATAAAGTGGTCAACATGACCAAATATTTGTAAAATAAAGAAAAAAATTGAGAGGTGTTCATTAGTTTTCACAATAAAAGAGGCACTGATTAACTAGGCAAAAGCAATTTTAGAATGGCAAATGATTACAATGGATTGAGGAGTGAGATGGAGGTGAGGAAGTAGAATCGTGAATGCAGGTAATTGCCTTTCTAAATAAAAGAAGAGCTAACACAATAACTGGAGGAAGACAGTAAGTTAAGGTTTTTGGTAAAAACCTGATCACATTTGAATGGTGATAGAGAAGAAAAGGAGGTAAGAGGAAAAGAAGTAGAAAAAAACAATTAATTGAGTGAATAATATTTTATAGAAGTTAGGTGTAGTTAGAATTCAGAACCTAAATGGAAGAAACAGTTATAAATGACAGAGATGTCTCCTCCTCAGTACTACACAGTAAGCATAGAAGGATGAACATGCACATTTGAGGATTTCGTAACAAGAATTAAATGCCATATAGTGGCCTTTATATAAAACAGGAGATGCTTAGAGTAAATGACAAAGATGGCATGACAGAAGTTCTAGAAGACTGGGGAAGTTCTGACACAGTTGCCACAGAAAGAAAGAGGGGGGTATTCTGGGTGACTGCTGGACATTACTGAGGCTGAAGACAACAAACTTTCAGTTGTGAGATCTTCTCCAGCAGCATTCAGTTTTCAGAATATGAATCTTAAAAAAAGCAACCAGCATCACCAATCCCAGATTTTGGTTTTGACAGGCAAGTATAATGGAAAGGATAGAGTTAAGGATACCAGAAATAGATTGCATGAAGTGACTGATGGACCAAGGTATCTTAGCTGGACTGACTCTAAACTGCATCATACAGTAATAACAGAAGGAAACAACATAAAGAAAGAAAGTAGAGTCAGGGGATTGAGATGTCAAGAAGCAGGAACAGTGTGACTGACTAAATGAAAGAAGCTGACACTGGCCAGTAAGTGAGATATTTGGTTCTTAAGATTTCAGAGGCAGTCAGGTACAGTGGCTCACGCTTGTAATCCTAGCACTTTGGGAGGACCAGGCAGGTGAATCACTTAAGGTCAGGAGTTCAAGACCAGCCTGGCCAACATGGCGAAACCCAGTTTCTACTAAAAGTAAAAGAAAATTAGCTAGGCATACTGGTGTTTGCCTGTAATCCCAGCTACCCGGGAGGGCTGAGGCAGGAGAATCACTCAAACCCAGGACGTGGAGATTGCAGTGAGCAAAGATCATGCCATTGCACTCCAGCCTGGGCGACAGAGTGGGTCTCTGTCTAAAAAAAAAAATTCAGAGGTAAGCGGCTGGCAT